TATATTGAAACCACAACACTACTTTAGTTTATGCATATCTATAAACTAGGATTACTAACTGAAAATATTATCTTTCATCCATGGATAAGATTCTGATTTCTAATGAAAACTTTTAAATAATTTCTTCCTTTACACACCATTAAAGTTTCAAATCCTTGCGTGAACACAAGAAAAAAAAAAACATTACAGTACCAAATAACTGCTCTAATTCTATCAACAGTTATCTGGAGTTCATTATTTTGTGGGTACAGAAAAATGGAAAGTTACATCTAGAAACATTCTGTTTAATACTAAAACTGTTAAATAATGAGAATCACAGCAAACACAACTTACTTTGTGATTTTTACTAAATGTAGACTAACATGTTTCAAGATTCCAACAACTACGATCATACTAAAGTAAGTATAACTGATAACCGGCCAATTAAATTAAGTTACAATTATTCCCCAAGAGGCATCTAATACTTCTATTCCTCCATAACATGTCTTCTTAAAACTGTTGAAGAAGGAAACACAGAAATCTGGAAAAAAAAGTTAGAACTATAGTAAACTATGGAGACATTCTCACCAATGTCCTCCTGAACGCACTAACCAATTCTCGTCAATGTGAGAAATAACAGTTCTGAAATTTAAGTGAACCAACTTCAGTTTTATTTGTAAGTAACAATAAAAACAGCACAGTTGATATCAAGAAGAAATACACGACATTGTCATCAATGAAAATGGTCTGCCACTTTAGAAAAACTATTTGATTCTAATGACCATACGGAATATGGTTCAAATCAAGATGTGGATTTTTCTACTTGTTCTAGGATTCCAGTTTAAACTCAAGGTTTCCTGAACATAATATTTTGGTTTCAGTTTTTCATAGACAATTGATACAGATCTAGTTATTTGTCTCTATCTGTTTATTAACAGCATTCATACACTTTGCCATAGTAGGGGAGGCTCTGCTGATGGAGTCTGTCATGTAGAAATCAACCAGAGATTTCAACTTGGGTTCAAGAGGCTGGGATGCAAACTGAAGCTGCACAGCCTGGAAATAGAAAACATATTATTACATTAACAGAAAAAAGATTGCAATGTGATAGAACAAAACGTTGCAGAGTGGGTCATTTGATTCTCTCTTTTTTTTAAAAACTATAACTAAGAAAAACACTAGAAACTGTCAGTAGCCACAGAGTCAGCAAAATGTGTGTCTGAACAAAATGTATTTAATTGAATCGTATGGTTACATTTTAAATAGTTAATCTATAAAGTAAGCGTATAATTAATTTGGCAGTAATCATAAACAAAAATACCACTATGTAACAAAAGTTTCTTGGTCAATTATTCATTATCTTTTTTTGCTATCCTGTTTAGTAGGTTTTAAAATATTCTGGGTGAACTCGTTATCTACATAACGATCTAGTAATCCAGCTTCATAAATTAAATTTCTTTAATATTTTAAACAATTTATTACTTATTTATTAAAAAGCTACCTTGCCAACAAACACAAAAATACTATTACCATTATAAGAATTCTACAGTATTCAAGATCAGTTTATTTGTTCTTAAATTCCAAATTCTATCATTAACAACAGAATCACATGGCTTATAATGGTGAAAACAATTTTAGTCTTCATTAAAAACAGCTGTTAATATACTACAGTTAGTGTTTTTTTTCTGATAGTTTCACATATAAATACAGCTTGTACTAAGAAGATAACAATGAATTTCACCATCAGTCTTTAAGTAATTTAATTTTTTTTAACTATTACAGAACAGCCTTCCAGGATAAATTACAAGGTAATTGACTAAAATAAGAGGAATTTTAGAAAACATTTAAACAATTAAGCAATTACTATATAATTAAATATTACATAATGTTCATTTCAAGTTATGTTTTAGGTTTCCGATACAGTCTCAATATTTCTTCTCGAAGCTTTACTGGTAACCTGATGGCAAGCTCTGGTGTCATCACCATACCTGGGAACTCTTAGTTCTGACCTGGAACTTGTGGAAATTCTTTTTTACTTGCCAGGTTTTTGGTATTTTTTATATGATCTTAGGACAAAGTAGCTGTCTCTGTGGCAAGCACGATGCCCAAACATGTGTTTTGTTGCACATGATATTTTACTCTTATTGTTATTAATATTTTAGTTTAAAATCTCACCACTAGTGTTCTAATTCTTTAGCCCACCCCATAAAAAAACTGTTTTGACAGACCATCCAATGAAAAATTACGTCAAATTTAATTATAACTATTTTCATTACATGCAATAAACAAGGATTTCTGTACTTATGCATAGTTGCCTTCTCAACCAACCCATTTACCCACAAAATAATTTATTTCAGTAATACCAAAATAACTTAAACTTGTTTACTATTACTGAAGATTTTATGATTTAATGTATAAAATTATGAATGGCCAATGTACCTACCTAATTTTTCAATCCTCAGAGTCAGCCAAATCTAAGCTGTCTGTCAATCATTCACTAGAATTAACAATATTTTCCCTCACCTTTCATATTTGTTTTAGTTAACATATTGTTACAAATCTGTAAAAATCTGTGACAGATACTCTCGTAAACTTTCAGATGTGTATATTACAAATATTTTTTTGTATGTATTTCAGTTCAATATCACCTGTTTCCAAACATTAAAACTAGCATATACAAGAGTACATTTTTACAAGGCTCTTCATTTTTCCAGCATCCTGGATTATTCTGGTGAAAGTTTCAAGTATTATATCATTGAAAATTGTGTATTTTGGATTACAGATTGTGGGTCAGAAACTACCTTATGACAGTTTAGAAGAAATTCGCCAGAGATTGGAAGAAATTGCTCCTCACCTAACAAGGTTTGGCAATGTGGAAGAAGCTAATTATTTTGCCCAGGGGTCAGAACTGTTCAAGGTAACAGTTTTTTTTTTACTTAGTACAGAAAGGTTTAATCTAACTTTCAATTTTGTCAAGGTTTAAGTTTTTTATTTGTGACTCCTTACTTGGATTTGAGTTATTTTTTTCTAATATCTGAGAGTCATGTCATTTGCATTCTTTAACACGTATTTCTTGTATGTAATACTGTTGAAATAATAATGGAGTAGAGCTCCAGTAAAAAAAAAATCTGGTTTTTTTCTTTTAGTTCTCTTTGTTTCAATATGTTTGTCAGCAGGTTTTATGAACATAAACCTATTTCCACATTGTGAATCTACGTCATTCAAAATTATAACTAACTTATAACATTGGCATCATAAAATGATAAAATATTGTGTGAACAAACCAGACTTATAACACCAAAGTAAACTAACATACACTTATGGAAGTTACATACAAAACATAAAAATTTGATTTTTTTAGTCTATACAGAGAAAATAAACTAAAGTATCACACAGATTTATGTGTAGTTTATGCAAAAACATAATCTAGGTAGAACATTGGTCTATATCTTATTCAATGCAATGGTTACAAGTATGTAACATCCTTGTGAGCTAAGTTTACACAATAGACTTTGTTAGTGAACTATGATTATTTTAAAAGTTTTGATATATTTAGTATTATGTAATAATATTGACAGGTTCACAAATAAAGGTGTTGGTCCTGGTATTTCGTGATTTTGGTCCAGAAAAGTCCTATACAAAAATTCACATGTGCTATCGGTCTGAAATTTTTACTACAGCTTCACCTAAGAGTAAAATTGGACAGTTTATAATTTTTGGTCATTCAGATGATATTAGCTTAAGCAATTAGCGTAAACAATGATGCTTGATACGGCTGTACCGAGTGCATGCTGGTGATGACAAGAAACTATTAATGATGTTACTATAATACTGTTTTAGAGAAGAAAATTCCAACAATATAATTCAAAGAATCTGTTTGGTTCTGTAAAGTATAGGTCTGTTCCAAATAATAAGGTTGTGATCCTAAAGCTAATGTTGGTTACTACTGAGTGTCACTTTCTTACTTGCTGTGGTTTGTTGGTGTGTATTGACAAAAAGTTATGATATATAATCAAAAACACCTTAGGTGTGAAAAAAAAAAGGTGCGGTCAAACTGATAGCTACACTTATAGCAATGATAAGAACTTTACAGCAAATATTCAATCATTAGTTAGCCAGGCCACATCTTTTGTTCAACTTTGGGCAAAACAAAATATAAGTGTAGCTACCAATTTTTATCTTTTCCTCAAGCTGCACACTCAATCCTTTATTTTTCACACCTAAGGTACTTTTGATTAGATTTTAATATACTGTAATCAACTTTTACTTATCGCCCAATTTGGTCTACTAATCTTTATTAATCATTATTATAATGTGGTTTAGAAACTGCTTCATTGTTTTGTCCAGTAAATTTTATTAGGGACCACAGCCTTCCCATAAGTGGTTGCAGATTGCAAATTAGGTGATGGCTTGAGTACCAATTTATCATTTCAACACAAAACGTGAGATTCACATTTAAAAACAAAAAAAAAATGGGGAGGGATATTGGCACTTAATTTTTGAACAAACCTCAGATAAGGCTCGAACTATTTTCCAGTCTTCTCTGGCCATACCGGGAGGAGTGACAGCCACCATGGTTTGTTGAGCACGACCTTCCATATTGATATATGTTGCTTGCTTTTCAGTGTAGGCTGCTCCTGGAAGGATCACATCAGCAATTTCTGCACCAGCATCCCCATGATGACCTGAAGATACACAGGTGTACTATGAAAACCATAAAGAATGTCATTAGAACTATAAAATTTTCTAAAGAAGTGTGAAATTAAAATTGTACAAGCTTCAAAACCTCCCAATTTTTTCCTTTTTTTTGGGCACATGTACATTAGTAATCTCAGTTAGAGCACCTCCAATGTCACAAATTTCAATCTTGAATTTGACAGAACTCTTAGCTATGCCAAATGCATTATAAAACTGAGATTTTAGTTTATTATTATTTTGGTTAAAAGTGAAAACTTTGTGTGTTTTTAAGTATTAAAATTGGATTGCACACACAATTTTGTGAAGTAAAAATTGTTTGTTTTAAAGTATTAAAATTGGATGGCACACACAATCTTGTGAAGTAAGAATTTTCTGTGTTTTTAAGTATTAAAACTGGATGGCACACAATTTTGTGAAGTAAGAATTTTCTGTGTTTTTAAGTATTAAAACTAGATGGCACACACAATTTTGTGAAGTGAGAAATTTCTGTGTTTTTAAGTATTAAAATTGGATGGCACAAACAATGTTGTGAAGTAAGAAATTTCTGTGTTTTAAGTATTAAAATTGGATGGCACACACAATGTTGTGAAGTAAGAAATTTCTCTGTACCAAGCTGCCTTTCCACGACACAACAATGCAACAACAGAACTTAGCCTGGTTGTTAATTATTTTGGATATCTATTGGGAAAGAAAAACCAAAAGTGTTTTAGGCACAACCTTGACAACTTCCATTTTTGCTGGTAAAGTACCTTAAAAAAACCTGAACTCTTAAGTTGCAAACAATCTAATGACAACAAAGAACAAACAACAACAACAACAAAATAACTAGTGGTAGGTACCCCCACACACAAATACACAAAAAAAAACACAACAAGAAAAAAGAATACGTGTATAAAAATGTAATGTTTAAGATAAATAACAATATTTACAATGAATAATTACAAAATATAAAAAAATATTTTTCCTTACCTTGATATATAATAAAACAATCATCTGGCAAGTCATCTTTAGTAATTGCTCCCTCATCAGCATCCAAGAGGTACAAAACTTTTGGTGGATGTTCACGAATATAATTAACACCAGCCTTGTATCCAACATCTAGGGCTGCTACCTGATTGGCTACCTAAGCAGATATTCATAATTTCTATGAAAATCATAAACAGTCAATTGCAATAATACTATACTAATTTTAAAACACAGAATATTTTCAATAGAACACACAAATCTACATATTACAGATTTATACAAACCAAGTGTTTACAAACAAGTGTAATTTGAAAAAATCATGCAGATGTTTATTAATAGTATTTTTCTAAATAATTTAGATTTTTGTTTTAAATCTTAAGATATTTCTCTACAATTTTCCATTTAATTTGTTTAATTATCCTGGTTTTGAAGAGTAACTAAATAGTACACTTTTTAATAAAGCAGGTACTCGTGCAGTTGAAATGTTTAATCAAATTTATGTCCCAAATCCTCAGGCCACCACCCACCCATTTCTCAGAGTAATTTTGTGTAATTGAAAAAGCCAATTTTCAATCAGTGATTGTTTCTCTGTTACCGAGAACCATTTAGTTCAATTTGTAAATATTTAATTTGTTTTTTGATGAAAAAATGGAAATACAAGAGAAGTTAGGAAGTACGTGAAACAATTGTTGTATTAACATCTACTATGGATTTAGGCCCATCAGTGAGCATTATTTAAGTTGTAGAACTTTATATATATGGTGATGATTTTCATCCAGAACTGACTTGGATTTTTTGGTTTGTCGTGTTCATGGCCCTAATGATGACATCCTTTTTCCTTCAGATCCACTAGATTACTTCCAAACAACAGTTCCTCAGGATAAACTGGAATGTTGCCCTCGCATGACTGTTGTACAAGTGTTTTACTTGCTGGCACAGGTACAACTACTGTTAAAATCCTTAGAAGATATGAATTTTTTATGAAGTCCTCTATGCTGCAAATATTTCTGGCCTTAAGTAACTACAATACAAAGGACGCAGTACAATAGTAACAGTTAAAAAAATACTGTGTGCATTTCAGGTGTATAAAAACTACATAAAGGAGTCACTGCATTTTTTCTTTCTCTTCATAATTAATGCTATTGACAAGTCTTCTTAACAATATAACTGTTCTCCTTGTTGTCACTTGAAATTCATCTTCTGTTGTAATTGTCATATAGTGCACAGGGAGCTCCCGGTTATAGACTGAGAGACTAAAACAAGTCCAACCTAACGTTCACATTTCTGCATGAAGTCTATTCCCAAGATATATTCTTCCTCACTGTCAATTACCCACTCATCATGTCATGTAAGGAAGCTTCCAATAGTGTGGGTGACTTCCAATTTTCCTCTTGCTGGAACTATATGACCACTTGCTCTTTGCATCAATCCTTCTTCTTGCTTCATCTCTGGAAGATAGCCCAGCTTCCAGACTGGACAATAGTAGCAGTAAAACCAGTATCTATCAACATGCTGTACAGTTTTTCCGTGTACTTTGTTCATCAATCCTGGATGTGATTAGTAAATGAATAGTGAATTTACTAACACAGCAGATACTTGTGCAGCTGAAATGTTTGATCAAGCTTATGTCCTAAATCCTCAGGCCACCACCCATTTCCCGGAATAGGTCCTAAAAGTTGTTTCATAAAAAGTACCTTCAAATCTGAACTCTTAAGTTGCAAACAATATAATGACAACTAAGCACAAACAAAAACAAAAATAACTAGTGGTAGGTAGCCATACACACACACACACACACACATAAAACAAAAAAAAAAAAACAAGGGAAAATAATACTTGCATAAAAATATAATGTTTAAGATAAATAACAACATTTCCAATGAAAGATTACAGAACACAAGTAATTTTATTAAAACTTAATATACTGTACTCAACCTCTGTTAATCACTCGATAACCTATTTAATAACTATTAAATTATACAGAGGGTTGAGTATATTACATAAAAACAATATTAATATGAAAATCAGCAAGTCATGTGATAACCACAGCCACACTTCTTATCTTGAGAAATATATATCAAATATTTATCACACTTTAAAGTGATATCATTTTATTAAAATTCTAAAATGTCAGTGCTAGGTGATTTAATAAATAAAAATGTAATGATTTGTTTAATACCTTGTGTTGCCTTATCTTTTGGATATTTTATCTACGATGTTTTCATAACTCTGGGCACACAACACAACCACACATACATACATAAATATACATATAGGTAGATACATACAGAACAGAGATAATGATGAACCGTAAAACTTTTTGCCTAAAGCTCACAGAAAATTCAACTCAGCTTACCATGCTGGAAGTCCAATATTAAACTGATTAAGCTAGCAAATACCATATAATTTTGTTTTTCTTATTTGTGCAAAAATATTCTGAAATTATGATACATAAGATTTTAAGCACTTTGGTATAAAGTTCTCCTCACAACTTCAAGTTTCCACTAAGTGCCCTCTAAAATAATATTGAAGAACAAGATGGCACTACAATGTTGTGAAGTAACAATTTTATGTGACAGAGCAGAATTCAAACCCATGACTGCTTACTGAGCAGATGCTTTATCCATTCAAGCTACCACCTCTTGAGTACAGCTATGTCACATAAACTGTACCAGCAAAGCTGCCTTTCCACAAAACAACGATTGAACAACAGAACTCAATCTGGATGTTAATTATTTTGGATACCCATTAGGAAAGCAAAATCAAAAGTGCTTTACGTATAACCTTGACAACTTCCATTTTGCTGGTAAAATACCTTCAAAAAACCTGAATTCTTAAGTTGCAAACAATCTAATGAAAACTAAACACAAACAACAACAAATAACAACTAGTGGTAAGTAATTCAATGATGAGGAACCCACTTGGAGACTAATAATGCTTGGAGATGGCTTGAATGGTATGAGAAAACTTAACATAAGTTTAGTCACAACAGACAATCGAAACATTGTAATTTAGTCTGTTATAGTTAAACTTATTA